TCCTATTCAACCGTCACTTACTCATTTGAAGCGTTTTCTCATTCAGACAACAAATTAATAAATGTTTGAGATGACTAGCACTAGTCCCGTTTTAAGCATGCCTTGATGTGAAATTTGCATAAACATAGATCGTGTACGTGCGAGCATCAGGAATTTAAGGAAAATGCTGACAAAACAAAGTTGAGTATTTCAAAATTTTGTGAAACTTAGATATCCCAAGAAAAATGAGTCAATGAAAAAAAAACATGCGAGAGTTATAAATATTTGAGAGTAAATCGGAAAGTAAACGAACATCTTCAACCAAGTTTCTCTGAGAATTTGTCAACAGTGTAACATTTATAAGCTGAATCTCGTTCAGGAAAGAAATGCGCTTCAAATAAAAGGGAAACAATCAAACTCATGACTTTCATCGTTCCACGCTCCTCTTGGTGTCTATTTTAAAAAAAGTTTTAGAAACAAAAAATAATTCCAACAAAAATTTGTTTTTCTAACAGAGAAGCACAATTTTAATTTGGCTCAAGGCCAAACGGCTTACGGCTCATAGGCAGCTGAACCCGCATTCGAAGGGACGTGATAACGCGTCACGATCTTGAAGAGCCACATACACACATACATACATAGTTATAATGACTTTCAGCTTCATATATATAAAGTTACATTAAAAATACTTTCTTTAACTCTCAAAATATACATTAGCTAGTTGTAATTGCAGGGGCAGAATTTTGCTGCATTTTTTGGAAGTTTTGTTACAACTGTCAAGTAGAGCTGCACTGCATTGCAAATCGCGCGCATATTTGTGCACTCGTCTTGACTGCTGTGTTCGCGAACGAATAGGTGCTGCAGGTGTGGAAAAATGATTTCACATATTTCCACAACGAATGTACATTAAACTTCATTTCTAACGTACCATAACCAAACCATTCCAGGTGCCTTGAACAAATTTGACAAGCTGCACGGCAGCCATGTTGACGTCTGAGGATAAGCTTGGATCCCAGACAACATTGCGAACATTTTGCGCATTTCTTGATGGTTCTGAAAAAGTTGGATTTCTTTAACTATGGGGTATTTAAGATGCTTTACTTGGCTGAAATCCACGGCGAATTAAGCGTAGCTCTCCCACAATTGTGGCTTTTTCCATCAATACAGCGCAAATCTCATTTGGAATTACTCCAACGGAATCCTTGCTCAGTACAATCAATGCCCATCGAAGCATTCGAATTGTTGCCTAAAATCCAGAAATTCGAGATGCTTTCAAATGACGTATACGTTCGTTTTAGAAGAAGAAACGCACAACTTCGTCCTTTTCCTTCCACAAAAGTTTGTCGGTGAGAGTTTGACGTGCAGTAGCACGGTCAACACCTCGTTCTTTAGCACGTTCTATCAGCTCCTTCTCAAGCTGTGACATTACTCGTTGTTTTTGGCGGGGACCATGATGATGGATATGATGGGAAGAATGTGGAGAGCTCTAAAATTCATTAACAACTATTATTCCTCCTCTGATCACTTAAAATCAAAGATCAAGTAAGAGGCAGTTGTGCCCATTCATTTGTTCACTTGATTTTTGCTATGCGGTTGATTTGAAAGTCCTAAAATCTTTTTGGTATCTCTTTACCTGTTCCTCAGCCCTACGTTTGCTCTCCGTTTTCCAATGCTCCTGTTCAGTATGACTCATCTGCTTCCAGTCGTCAGCGGCTCG